AAAAAAAAAAAAAAACCCAGTCTTTCAGATCAAGTGCACTCTCTTCATTTGGGGAAAACATGGTAAACTGCTACATTATTTCATGTCTTCCCTCTGGACACTATACGGTAAGGAATGCTGACCTATGCTACCCTCTATTATATCAATACAGCTACTATATTTACACTCTGACTGCACAGGTCAAAATCCTCACTGAAAAAAGCTGTCTGCTTTGGAAAAATTTACACACTATTCTTGATTTTGTTTTCTCTTTCAAAACTGTTTTTGAAGGGCATTAAAAACGAATTTCTACTGACAGCAAAAATAACGACATACTTAAAAGCTAGCAGTTCTCGTTCTCTTTCACACCCCTAGTACAATCAAGACAATTTTCTGCTGAGTTCTTGCACATCCACTTTCACTCCACAGAACACTGAGGCACCTCAATGGCCTGTTAAGCTTCTGTCAGTTTTGATTTTAGTCGCATTAGCAAGAAGTTACATATTTGCTTATCTTCTATTCTTTCAACTAGACACTCAGAAATCTCTTCTCAAACCTAGCCACCTCGTTTATATCCTGTCCAACTCTGACCCAGTTTTTCAGGATAAGCATTAACCCTCTGATAAGCCAAACAATCATTTAAAAGCACTGGTGAAATTCAAAGGGTCTGCTTTGTTAAACTAAGCAAGTATGCAGTCTTCCTGTTCTCATCATTGACTTCCATTCTCCCTTCTTGCACTGATGTAAGCCCATTGTTATGCCCCAGAAAAAGCTCATTTTTAATTAAATTGATTTTAAATCACCCAAGTAATCTCAAATAACCCCCCACTGTACTACAGCTACCAAGAGGTAATGAAGAACACGACATCCCAGCACATCAGTTACTCCATAGTAACTCCCTTTATGCTTCCCCTAAACCTGCAGTATGTTTATCCTTTCTTTGTTAATGTAATTTAACTTAAGCTATTTAATCAAAACACAAATCCAATTTGCAAAAGCATACATTAAAGCAGTTAAAATATATATGTTTTAACTTGGCTTATTTCTTCAACTAATTAATTTGAAGCTGAGCATTTCTCTGGAATAATCAAGCCTTTTGGTCACTGCCATCATCAAAATATGAATTCCTCATCTGGGACAACAGCTTACTTGTGAAATGCCATGCACATTTCTGGCAAAGCAGCAGAAAATGTCATTTTTTAAACACAATCACTTAGCAAATACGTGCTCTGCATTCATCATGAAACTTTGTATAAAATTACTGTCACTACATAGTCTTACCTATTTTGATGTAAATATCGTCTTGTATCCTCTGTTCTCTGAAATTCTCTGATGGATACAGGCTTTATTGGTGAGCTCTAAGCAAAATAACACAAAAGATGAAGTTAGCAACACATTCTGAATACTCTTCATGAATGTCAGAGAATCCGTTTGTACAGTAACATCTGTAACTACTGGCATTCAAAATACCTGACTGCCCCCCCCATCATCCCAAAACAACTCAGGAATGAGTTCATTTCCAACTAAGTAAGTTCACTTTGATCTTTTCCTGTGATTTACAGAAACTTTAATTTCAAGATTAAACACGCCTACTGATAAATTTAAGAGTTAAAAAATCTCCACTATTAAGAACTATGCAGAAAGCCAGCGCAGGTATAAAATGATTAACGTCACTGGGAAGAAACGCGGAGTTAGGCTCCAGACAAGATATATATAGCTGTATGGCAATGTAGCAATCCAGCAATGGATATGATCCTGGGCAAACTGCTCTGGCTGACCCTGCTTGAGCAACGGGGTTGGAGCAGATGATTCTCCAGAGGTCCTTCCTATTCTGCGATTCTGTAGTCGTGAATTTCAGGCAAAAAGGATACAATAGCCGACACACTCTTATGATGCCCTAAAGATAGGTCACAGACAGAATTTAAAAAAAAAAAAAAAAAGAGGGTAACTGACAACACCCACAGCTTAATTTGAGTTACGAAGTCATTTATCCCACTGGGAGCAGGGACATATTGCCCTTGTCATTAATGGGTATCAAAAAAGTTTAAAAATAACGTGGGCAAAATGGACATTTTTCAAGATTAACTCTCAAATTTTCACTCATGCCTGTATACATCTTGCATATAGTCAGCCTTCTTCAGTAGTGAAGTGTTTTGGATTGCTTGTCTTCTCAGATAAACTATTGTTTCAGTTAAAAGTAAATAGCTTAATTTTTATGAAAAGATAGATCCTTATGAATAGCTTTTTTTGGATGTACATCAATGTCTTTACTACTAACACCTAAGAGTGTCTTTGGCTTGCATTGCCAATAATTTTTTTCTGAGTTTGGTCTTGTGTCTATGCTTCAAATGGCATGAGCCTCTCTGATTTGATATTGAAATTGTGGGACTCACAAAATGAATGCATCTCCAAAAGATATTTGTGCCACTGATTTTTACACGGTAAAGACTAATATAAAGTATACTAAATAAGGGGATACTAAAAACCCCAAACCCCACCCCTACCCCCACAAGCATACATCTTTCTACTTCAAAACACAAAAAACTCCGAATGGACGCATTCAAATCTTAACACAGTGGGTAGTGCCTAGCATATCAACCACAAACAAGGATTTTTTTCAGACAGGTTGTTCGTGCAGTACATATAATGAGCCACTGAACTGTGTACATTGACATTAAGATTTGCAGAATATAGACGGAAACAGTACTTGGCTAAGAATCTGTTTCTACAGTTTGATTTCTAAGAGACTCTCCAATGCCTAGCACCCGAGTGACTGTAACAGTGTTCTCCATGTGTTCACAGCAGCAGCTACTACAAGCGGCAACTCATGCAATTTCAAATCAACTGTAGTGAATTTCGATCAAATGCATACTCATGCTTGTGCAGCTAGAAAGCAATGAAATGACACAAGCTAAGAACAGTCACAGTAAATTTACTGGAATTACTGCCCTTGTCTGCTCTAGGACATCATTTGGATAGTGTAAGCAATCAATAAAGCCTCTATTATTAACGCAGTACAGTGTAAATGCTGTTGAAAAACATGTGGAAACAAATAAACTTCCTCTTCAGTGCATTATGGGGAAACAGGTAATGTGCCCTGACTCTCAGGAATTACAGTGCCGTTATATTATTCAGATTTCTAAAATGCAGCATTCCAGAGCAACTATTACATACCAGCCCAAACAGAAAGATACTTGAGAACAAAAATGAAAAAGATACAGTTCAGATTTGTTGGGAAAAAGAGACTTTTCTTTTTTGAGGGGAGAAAACAAGGAAGTGTCTAGAGCTACTCATGCCTGTTTCTACATATGTGTGAAAAGCTGTCTAGAGAACTCTCTAATCTGTCCAGCAAAACTTCTATTATTGCTCACTTACTGTATTCTTTTACTGATTGAGAACACTTTAGTGCCAGATTTCTCTCAAACTACAGATGTTTTTGTTCAGAAAGGAGATTACGTACATATTCAGTCTGTACCAGTGGTGACATTTCAAAGCCTTGCTCAAGACTAACAGAGAGAAAGTAATTGTTTGTTGTAAATCTTCAGACTTTTCAGAAAGTCTAGCATTTAAGTTAGTCTAAACTTAAAATGGATGCTCAAGACAGTAAGTTTACTGGCAAATACCTTTTAATCAACATGAACAAACTAATGCAGTTGCAAGATTCCTGTACTACATCTTTATGCAGATAATAATCAACATATTTTACCTTTGAAAAAAGCCAATATTTATTCAATATTACCAAGCAAACCTGATCAGTTTTACAAATATCACCTATTACCAAATGGAAGCATTAATTTCAGTATTTTTTGAAGGGAGCAGTCCTTTGAAAAACCATTTACTTCACATCTGCCTAAAACACAAACTTGCAGGAACCCACATGAGAGGAAAACAGTGTTGCTACTCTGGATTCATTCCAGCACCCACAAGGGCACTCGGGTACCTTAACACTCCAACTCTGGCCTTCCACAAAGCACAACGCAGTGCTCTTGCTCCAATCCAGACTTAGGGGTGTGGGTTTTTTTTGGTTTTTTTTTTTTTTGTTAAACACCAAAGAAAACCTCTGAGGACAAGAAGCATAAATACCATCAAAAGGCTTTCCTGGGGCATATGAACTTAACTAATTTAAGTAAAAGCACCACCTCGTTAGAGATTCGCCGCTGTTCAATATATGCCATGAATTGTGAGCTGAGGCTGTCTGAGTCCATGCACTTGGATTGCCTCACCTCTTCCTCCTCCTCTTCCGTGGCACAGCTATCAATATAGTCGATCTGATCGAGATCATGTTCCACTTGACATACATACACAAAGGAAACACCCAGAATTAGATAATCAGCAGGAGGGGGAGAATAAACAACATGAAAACAATGTCAGGAACTAAGGCCTACAGATTTTCTTCCACCTGGGAAAGCTCAGTCTGAAAGCTCTCAAATTCTGCCTGGTCTGCTAACATTTGTTAAACATCAGATTTTGAAATAATGGTAAAATGAATGCTTTTTTAAAAAGCAGTGCAAAACTGATACAACCAGTACGTAACTTTAAAATTCTCTTTGTGGATAGTTTTTTGGTCACTGAAAAAGTGAGTAGATACCGTGATTTTTTTTTTTTTTCCCCAATAGCAAAACGTAAGCATTATCTATCAACTGACACCAAGACTATACAAGATTTTGTACATTTTGAATCATTTATCTTGATTCAAATTCATCTCCTTCAGACAAATTAGACTGATATGACAAGTACTACTATTAATTACTACTACAACAAAACAGAAGAGAGCATGACCAAATTACCTAGATGTGAATGCAATAAAAAAGGTATGTGGAAGTAAGACTACAGAAAGCAATGAAAACCTCAAACAATACAAAATTCAGCATCTAGCAATTTTATTTTAAAAAAAGGAAGGAGAAAACAAATTAGGAGCCACTGGAACGGAGCACGAAACAGCATAGTGTGTCACTTACTTATTTTCCCTCAGAGGCTGTTACAATGTAGGGCAATTTTTTTTTTTTACTTGCCATTGCTTCTACACATTCTGTCCAGGGATTTTGAGTCATGGCATTGAGCAAACTACCCTGGTGAAAAATGCTGTGCTGAGGATGCAGGGGAAAGCATAAGCTCCTTTTCCGAGCACCAGAGCTTTCTTGTTCTTAACCTCCCCCCGCCCTCCACCACCACCAAATTTGCTGCAGACTCTCTTGCCAACATTCTTCTTCTGCCCCCTTCCCCAAAACAGACTTCTCTTTGCCTCGCCACACAATCTAGCAACTGTCACTGCCTAAGCCACCTCCTCTGCTACTGCAACCATCCAAAACAGCATTCCTATATCCTCTGGCTTCATTAAATCTCCATCTCAGCTTCAAATCTTTAGACACTTCTTTCCAGCTTTGCTCATTAAACTGAAATAATACAGTAGAGGGTGAAAGAAACTAGTAACTGTGTTAGGAGCACAAAACTGGAAGGGATCTCCTGCACCACGCACAGCCCCATGCTGCGGCTGGTGCCCCCCTCAAATACTCTTCCTCCTTTGAATTGAGCGTACTCCATCTTAAGACTAGTGAGGCATTTTGAAACGTCTGCTTTACAAAACCCAAAGAACAAAATAAAGTTAGTCTCAGAGGCAGGGCTGGCAGCACTACCTGTTATTAAGGCTGCCCACAGTTTCCCATAACACCATGCTTTCAATTCTTCTAATTTTGCCAAATTTAACTGTTCGAACTGAATTTTTTTTGTCTGCGCGTGTGCAAGAGGGAGTCAGCCCAAAAGTTTCAGATATTTCTAGAAGCTGGCAAAGAAAACAAAACATTGCGGCAGAGAAGAATAAGACTAAAAGACGACGAGGTGGGAGGAAGAGGGAAGGAAAAGTGGGAGATGGAGTGGGAAGATTAAGACTAGCTGGGAAGAGGTAGACTAAAGAGAGAGGGAACATGAATCAGAACCATTAAGGGAAAAGGGAAAACAGGGAGCAGCTTAGCAAGAGGCTAAAATAATTAGACTACAGTGGAATGAGAAAGAGATCTAATAACATGCAGCGTGCAAAAGGGAGAAGAGAAAATGGCTGAACAAAAACAAGGACCTGGAAGAATACTAAAATTGGGCGATAGTACCAAAAGGAGGACTGGACTGTGGGCCAGTGATAGAGGATTACTGGAAGCTCAAATGAAGGACTGCAGAAATCAAGAGACACAGGAAGCACTATCACCTCTTGGACAAACACGAGGGTGCTACTCTCAGACTGCAGGACAATGAATTGAAAAAGTCTAAAAAAGCAAACTCACTCAGAAATACCTGTCCCTCCTAGACTGCTTCACGTGTTTGGACTGAAGCACAAGATTCCTATCTAGGCACTCTTCTGCTGCTTGGAAATACGAAATAATCTGAAAAAGCTGCTCATCTCATTCTGACACTGGTCCACATAGAGCACGGACAATTTACTACTGCTGTAAGTTCTTCCCATTAACTCAAGCAGCGAAATTCCACGCAGTGAAATTCAAGATTCAAAACACTGCTGGGAGTAACTGGCGACTTTAACATATGCAGAAGCTAACTTAGCTAAAATTTCCCACATAGTCTTAATTCTGATGCTACTTGATTTTACCTTGTAACATCCTTAATATACTGTTTCCACAAGCGTCTTTTTGTGTAATTCCACCTAGACCGTTCTCTTTTTTTCCTCCCTCTTAAAACAATTCATAGCAAATACCCTGGAGCTTTAACAATGACAACAGTAAGCACAGTAAGATTGATCACTATTTACCTCCACCATTAGTTACAACTGTGCTACCTCTGTTTTCTTGATATTGACTCTCTCTTCGCAGGCGCTGTTCCTTAGTGATCTCTGCCACACGCAAAGGGAGGTCAGAGAACTCATCTGTAGGCTTTAGAAAATAAATAGTGAAATCAAGAAACACATTTTTCTTTGGAAACACCTTCTTGTGCTGCTTAGCTGCTATTTCTCAATTTGTGTTTTCATTTGGACCCTCCTGTTTTGTGCCCACAAAACACTAATTTAAAGCAAAATACAGCTAAAGTATATTATTTTTAAACAACATATATTTAAGCTTTCCTGAAAACTGATCTGCCTACCGTCTTGTTTTTCTCCGCAATATCTGCAGGTGCTTGAAAATATCCTAGGATGGAGGTTCTAGAACGCTTCCAAATAAACAACGTGGGGGCACAAGCAGGCAGAGGGAGTGCAGCTTGCAGGAAAGCTTTAGGTCTTGGCTTCTGCCTTTTCTAGTTTTTCCAAGAGGAAGAGGGAGCTTCTTCCTGGGAAGAACAATTGACAACCTCCACCCTAGGAGATCCCATTTTCTTGGTTATAAATGGCAAAGCGATTTATTTTTTAGTATTTTAAATAAAAGCTGTAAAGGAAGATGATGAAACTTCCATCTCATTTTTGAAGCTTAATTTTTATGTCCTGCTTTATTTTATAGAAACAACCATTCATGAGTAATTGAGATTGCAATACAATGCAGTGATGATATAGCGATTAGCTTTTCTGTTTAATGAGAAACCCCCTTTTCCTATCTGTTATGCTCCAATAAATTCACGGGCCGTGTACTGTTTTATACGTTCCTCTTATTATTTCCAGCTTTGTATCCAACAAGTAGAACATTACACTTGCTTCTTTTCTCAAATAAAACCAGAAGTTATTTTGGAGCAATAAAACTTGCACACTGTAATAAATGCTATCTACAGTATTGCACTCAACAACAATAAAGCTACAACACTTACTTCATTCCCTGACCATCTTTTGTCTCCGCTGTCCACGCTATTGAAGCCAGAATCTAGTGCTCCATATGGACGACTAGAATAAAGTTCTTCATGGCTGTCAAACATAATTTTCGTTACGGTAATGTAAATATTATTTTTAAAAAATCCCAACTATTACAGAATGAAAAGCAGAGTGGGCTTCGAAGCACAGTTGCAGCACGTTCACAAACTCAGTCTATTAGAAAGCACCAACCACACTGCATTTGCCATGTAGAAGAAGAGGCTACGTGCTTACAGCAACAGACGTTCCTATCTATCAGTCAAGTGTCCACCTGTCACTGCCTAGCATTTTAAGGGTCAATCTAATCCAAACTATTTATCCACACTCAAACATCCCCAAACTGTAATCTTGACAAAGAAAAATGCAAAGTGGTCTCTTATTTCGCTGTTTAAGTCAAACTTTCATTTTCTATAACTCACATGTTTTAGCTGAACAACACTTCTGCCTTCTCCTCACAAACTTTTTCATAAGTATTCATAAAACCATGTAAAATTACTATAAATAGAGCTGTATCAGAATACACATCTAGAGAAAAGTACACAGGGTATTATACAACCATTGTCCGTATCAGAATTGCCTACCTAAGAAAATGCACAGTAAGCAGGACATTAATTTCAAATAATCCATCACCACTTGAATAATATAAAAGTACACTTTTTATTTACGGACTCTGGCTTTGTCAATGACACGTCTAGACACACCAGACATGTGCCTAGGGTTACAATAGACATTAACCAAACAGCCACACAGTTCTTCTCTAAGTTTCTGGGCTCAGAAGCTACATAATTCAGCAGTGTGGCCATCACAGATGTCAGCTCTGGCAACTGCTGCAGATAGCCTCAGTAAAGAAACAATGGGACTTCTCTGACCCACTGCAGATGGCATTTCACAATAGATCAACTGTCCTACTGGTACTTGATGCCCCAGGGAGAACTGCAGCAGTAATTACTGCATAATACACAAGCAAGAACGAACTTCAGGAAGCTAATTGCTCCACCCCATCATACCAGTGAAAAAGTGACCTGCAATTCAGTTATTGCTCTCAAGTCGTTACTCCCTCTAAAATCCCTCTTTCATGAAATACTAATTTTTAAGTTACTATTATTTATGCAGCGCCATAGGCACGCACGGAATTCCGTAGAACAAAGTGACAGACTACCACCTTGTGCTGTTTATGTTTTCAGATAGGTGTAAAATAACAAAAAAGTAAGAAAACAGATGAAGACCTACAGAAGAGAAGCATCAGTTAATATATTTACTTTTCTGCAGATCTGGATCCTGAAAATAGACACAAAAGACCAAGCTCTTACACCTGCATAGAGTTTTGGTCAGCTCAAAAGGTTCCTCCTTCATGGCCTTGCAGTTGAACAGGAAGATCATCTGCATAGCAAAGCCTTAGCAACAAATATGGGGAAAGAAAAACAAACTCCCTTCTTTTGGGTGAGGAAGGAAAAAGAACCACCATGAAATCGCTTAATGCGGTTAAAGAACTATTCACTTGAATCACTGACAACAGAACCAGCTCATTTCACACAGCTGAATCTGGAGGTGACTCTAGAAGTAGTATCCTGAATTGGTTCCGGACTTGTTTTTACATTCATAATTCCAAGTTATGATTAAAATATATTAATTCTTTTCATTTCACACAAGCAATTAATGAAAAATTTAATAATTAATTGTAATTACAGACTATAAATCAATAAGCACATAGTCCACTCTGATTTTACTGCGGTTTCTCTTAAAAAAAATAAACTAGGCTGAAGACCAACAGAGCAAGACACTTTTATCATGCTAGAGTCAAAATGTTATTTGTTTTCAGTAACAGTAGAGTGCCCCTTGTATCGTGCAGCGACCCTGTCTGCAATAGCTTATACTCTAGGAAACCGAGTAACGCTCATAAAATGCTCATATGTTGACGTCCTCTAGAAAAGTAATTCAAAACATCCAGTGCTGATGAGGAATCATTGTCAGCCTGTCGTACAAATTCTCCTTCACAAATCTCTGACTCATTATTTACTGTCAGTCCCTTTGCTTTGTGTTTTATTGCTGCTAAGACAGCAGTACATCTTTTAGCAACTTACTCCTCCACACCTTATTGTCACCTTCCAAGTTAATTTTTAAGTATATTTAGTTTCAGATTTCACTGCCTACCTTTCTTCTATATCATATAAGTTATAAATCTGAACTTCAGCTCCTCTCTAAACTTCTCAATTTAGCAGCTGATATAGCTGACTGTTCCAATATTTGTGTTATGACGCTAAGGAATTGTGCCAAGTGAAAGCTTGCCAAGAATAACAGATTACTAATGGGGTGGAGATCAGCATTTACACCTGTGGTTTGAGCAAAGCAGTTATAAATTCTGTACAAAAGGTTAAAAATCACTGTAGGATTATACTTCAGTAAGTATGTAGAAAATATTAAGATCTTACAAACTAAACACACAGGTTACAAACATGACAGCAGATTCCCTGTACTCTGAAGATACCAAAACTCTCTTCTTACTGTATATTAATGCTAACAGCGCCTTCCATATGATATTACCTAGGTTTTTCTTCTGAACTCCTCTTTGCTTCTTTTATAGTGGTATCTTGCTAGAACGTATCATGAAATAACACAAGTGATATTCTTCAAAGCTATCTCCATCAATGCACTGACCAACGAACAATCCTCGGATCTAGTTTTTCAAAGTCAGAGGGCTGACAAGTTTTCCTGAATGACATCAAAACAGGGAACTTGGGTTGTGCCAAACTTACCAGGATCCAAACCCCATGGGTCTCCTATCGTAATCAGGCAAGTCTGGAGCTATCTTGCATGCTTCTATGTTCAGGTATTTAAATATGTGAATTTTTCCTTTTATACATATCTATATATATATAAAAAAAAAAAATCTGTAAGTAAAGTTTGACAGTACCTTTCCAGAGTATTCTAAAGACATTTAACCTGCAATTGGGAGTGATAAATAAGCAAATTTATATCAATCAATACACCTTTTCTTCTAACCCTGCTGCGTTTTAGAGAAACAGCTACAGTGGAGTGCCACAGGATGCCCACAACAAACAAACGGAAGCTGTCTTCCGAGTACATCTGCTCTGCACACAACTTCATCACGTGGGTGCTGAGATTTCGTCTGGCAAACAAGGTGTAAGCATTTTTAAGTACTAGAATTTATACCCTTGGCATCGGAAAAGACGCATCCTCACCCATGCCCAACTTCGAATGGCAATGGCAGACTGCCAAAGCAAGCTCAAATTTGAAGTGAATGAAGCTAATCACAGATGTCTTTGCTTTTTACAGTGGACAAAAACCTACGGAAACTACAGGTCTTAGCATGTGTCGCTCTTGATTCAGAAGCGGCAGCTCACACTGGAACCTGAAGTACTAAAGGGCTCTTATACCCACATTAAAATTTAAATTAGCGACTAACCATACTGCAGTTTCCAGCCCAAAGGCTGATGTGAGTACACTGCTGCAAAATGAAACGGAACACATAACGTTTAGACTGAGGACCCAGTTCTGCTGACATTTTGAGTGGCACAAAACCAATTTTGCCAGACAGCACTTCCTCTCTCCTATAGCTCTCCTGAAATTATAGTTATTAGAAATCTTCAGCTAATATTGGCAAGATGCTAACAGCGGAATTCTTGGTATAACCCCACAAAGATGAAACTACTAATGCAATCAGTAAGAGAAGTGAAATATTCTTCAAGTTGTGATGTATATTTAAAACTGTTACAGGATATACATTGTATAAACTCTTCCTGTTCTTAAGTAAAGGTTCTAATATAATCCTTCAGCTTTTAACTTCATTCTCCCTTTCTCAGTTAAAATAGTCATCCCAACTCCTAGCTGCAGCTTACCTGTGCAGGGGGTGACTGGAGAGGGTTGTTCTCTAACATGATGGTCTGCAAATGTCTGAGGTTCCGGTAACAAACAGGGATCGTTGTTATTTTATTGCAGGAGATATCTAACCGAATCAAAGGCAATTTGCAAGGAGCATAAAACTCAAATGTGTGTTTTACAAAATGATTATATAGACCTGCTCCTAGCCCTCAGGAGAAGCAGCATTAAAAGAAGAATCTGGAAGGGCTTAGTTTTCGCTCTTACAACCGACAGCCTGTATCTCACCTTCAGGTAAACGCACCAAATGATTTCTTCTGACATTTAGGTCACGCAAGGACTCCAGATTGCCAATCTGTGGAGGTATTGTCTGTATTTCATTACAGCTCACATCCTACAAAGGAAAGTAAAGAGCGAGTTAGCAATTTTGACATTATCACCACTAACTGGCAAGTCTCCGTCAACTGTGACACGTGGCGCTTTATTTAGGGACTGAAAGAGACAACCGTTTACATAACACCTTGGATGCTTACATTCATTGAGTCTCATTTCTGAGCTGAGGCATTATTCTCATTTTAAACACATGGGGGAATAAAAACTTTTAAAAAATTAAGTATTCAGATGTATAAGTTTATTTCAAGTTACTTAAGCTTCTCAATGTTATTAGAGACAGGGCAATTTCCCATATGAAAGCTTTTTGATAGTAGAAAATGCACCAGGAGCTCTAATTCCATATAAACTCTCTCAAAAATAGGGAAAATTAAAGTGATGTGGATCACTTGTTCTCCGTGCAAGGTATCTTTTCCTCACATAAATCAGATTTTAAAAATCTGAGATAATATTTCAAATTATTTTTCTAATATCTCTATTACCAAGTCAAAAAAACATAGCTGGAGATACAATGACAGATATAAACCTTTCTTAGGCCAAAAGCAGATCTAAGTTACTTGCTATGGCATACAAGTGACGGTTTACAGTCACAGATTTCTTAGCAGAATGAGAAACAATTCTGATCTCACATATCCCCAGACAGCATCCTAATTACTGCATTATTTTTACCAGTTAAAAAAAATTGGTATTTCTTCTGAAACACATGAACCTATTAAGCACATCAATTAAAAGACTGAATAGTAGTAGTTTAAAAAAATAACTGTATACTTACCAGCTCTGTCAGCTGTCTGAGCTGTCCAATTTCTTCAGGTATTGAAACCAACTTATTATTACTTGCTATCAAAACTTTTAGTGGTAGACTACACAGGTGTACTGGCAGTGTTGAAAGTTGGTTTCGACTTTTTGGACAGAAAGAAAACAGTGTCATCAAAACTCTAATGTGACATCACCTCACATCTTAATGTAATGAAAGATATACAAAAAGCACACTTCGTTTTGATAATGGTCAAGTCAAATTTTCCTAATTACTGTAAAACTAGTGCCACGAAGCCTTCCTTCATTACTTGCTTTACCTAGTTACGTGTGAACAAACTCTCAGGACAAAGCACTAACCCTGATTAGATTCTTTTGAACTCAGGGTGGAGGAACAGGACATTTTTAGGTGCTTGTAGGTGCGTCTAATAACTGGCTGCCCTCTGTCATAAACTAATACGTTTGAACAGTGTGAAAGCCTTTCAGATAGCTGGTATTGCAGGTCAGCACATACAAAACCCACAGAGGAAGTCATTACTTACTCAATTAGAAATATACTTTAAGTATTCAGTATGTCACGTGGATCAAAAATCCTGGTATGAAGGATTTGGCGGCTTCAAAATCCAGTGTTGGACATTTCACAATAAACTACTATTAAGGCAAATATGAGGTCATATTACTGGATTGTAACCTCACAGAATGAAACAAATAGGACGAGAATAGTTTAAAAGAGAAAGCGTCTCTTAACAAAAACAAACAAACAAAAAAAAAAGGAAAAACAAACAAACAAAAAAAACAAAAAACAAACAAACAAAAAAACAAAAAACACAAAAAACCAAAAAACCCAAAGAAAACAAAAAACAAACAAAAAAACCAAAAAAACACAAAACAAACAAAAAAAACAAAAAACCCACCACCATAGGAAGAAGCAGCAGTGACAATTAGAAAGTTATTATGATCTTAACTAAGGCTTTGATCAGATGCTGAAGTTTACCAAAATGTGGTGTTAGTTGTTTTCATACCTGAGGCCTGCATTTCCCTGCTCTAAGAAAAACAGTCCTGAGCAGTAGGTGAACCAAGAGCAGCTGTTAGAAGGACAATAATTGGAGCGCACCTGCTAGAGATCGCAGCAATAGGAAATCCATATCTGACTCATATCCTACTCCTACAATTCTCGCTATTAATAATAATAAAAACAAATTATAATGGCAAAAATATAACACCAGAAAGAAATTGCCTGAAGTTTTTCTTGCTTGACATCACCGGCAGTTTGTGACTGGGAACTTTCCACACCTCTTAAAACACTGTTTCTAGAAATGGTGAATCCTGTAGGCTGCTCATGAAATTCAGCTGTGTATGTTGTGGCAATTAGCTTTTAGGGCAGGCAGATAAGCATTTAATGCTTGAGAAAGCTCTGTAAAAGCCACTAGTACACTGAACATTAACGGAAATTCAATAAGCCTTATTTAGCAGCTGATAGGTGAATATTAAGGACTATCCAACAACTCCATCCACTCTTTTCCATCAGTATGCTTATATTTCACATGAAAATGGGTGGAAGTTGTTTTGTGAGTCCTTTAGAATGGAATTAAGCTCTCTTCTTCACTTTCCACTTTTACAAGCCACTTCTCAATCTTCATGTCCCCGGATCAACCTAAGTCTGTAAGCCTGATTCAGGCTGCTTTGATTCAATGATGGGCAATATAACAACACAATGACTACACACCATGTCTGCATTATTTATTGATGTTCCAAGATGCATAAACCTAGACTACTGATGCTAAAGCAAGGTCTTTAAGATAAAGATTACCTGATATTTAAAAACGTTAAAGACTGTAAGTTCAAGACAGCCTCTGGGATGTATCGAATGCAGTTCTGGTACAAATTAAGGCTCTCGAGGGAGACAAAGTGACATGCTTCTGCTGGAAGCTCTGACAGTCTGTTCCGTGACAAATCTGCAGGGAAAAAAGAAACATTCAGTGAAACTTCATGAGAGCAAGCATTGTCTGCATATACAGAGACACAGTGGGAAGAGTTGGACAGGAATCAGTTTTGCTGTCCTGCAAGATTTTCAAGATTACAAGATTCCTATTTCACACAGGAAAGAAACCAACATCTTTTAAAATTTTACAGCCGCAATGAGAGAGAGAGACAGATGCAACATTCCCTAGTTGTCATGCTTTCATGTATCAAATTGCCTAATGCTTAGGGAGCTAGTTTAAGATGGGCTAAAAGCCCAGCTTCAAATCTCTGTTCTAGGACCATCTTTAGATTTTGGACTTGGTATTTGGGTGCTTTAATGAAAAGGTTAATAATTACTGAGGGATTTGTTACACTTTATATAGTAATTAAATAGCCATTGGTTGTGTATATTAAAACACACACAAACACACCCACCCACCCCCACTCTTCTCCCACCTCCCTCCTAAGATCCTCCGTGATATACGGAAATCTCAGCTTCAAGCCTCTAGTCTGCTATATACTTCATATAGATATGCACACATTTATAAATTACAGCTCCAAGAGGGAAAAACATGGAGCACATGTCTTATAAGAGCCTTTCATATGATGGCCAGAACATTCCCCCCTTCACAGAGATAACAGTTCAAGCCTTTACTCTCAATCAGGAGATGCAAGGACTTGAATGAAGGGTCTCCCCAGTCCCAGAGAAATGCCTTGCTTGCTGCTAGCAGTAAGGTTTACTATTTGTTTGTGATCATACATTTCTTTCTGGGCAGGAGACAATTTAATCAAAACTAGTACCAAACGCTTCTATTTGAAGACCAACATTTTTCCTAAGCCAATTCCAGTCACCAGGTCTATATGTATAAAATATCCATCAGCATTACTCTCTACACTTTAGTCCTTCAAGTGCAAAAGCTGCACTGTGATAAATAACGCAGTTGCAGAGGGTTATTTTTTGTGTAAAGAAGGGCAAGGAAATAAATGCCAAAGGACAGTTCTCAAAACTGACAGAAGCCGCTCCTGCTTCCTAACGCACCCGACTCTGAATGCTGACAAGAGTTATGGTCACCATTAAGAGCGCAAGAAAGATTACCCTGTGACAGCAGGGAGTTCTTATAAAGATCCTAACAGTTTAACAAACTGGCACTTCACCCTCACGTTTTAAAGCAATGGCAGACATCCACTGACAAAGAACCATCTAGCCTGAATCAGTGCTCCGAGTGATAAAACAAATAAACAAAGAACCCCCCCACTAATTTGATTGCTATTTTATTTATGTATTTCTTTTAATTTGTGATTCCTCCTCATCAGCATAGGAGGAGAAGAACCTCCACCCCAAAATTTATTTTATAAGCTGAATATAGTAATTTCTACCTCTTTATTCCATGAAGGAACCACCCAATACAAGTTACTTTTCAAACACTGAAGGTTCAGATGGGTCTTGTGTGCATCTTGAAGATTTTTTTCAGACAAAGGCAAGCTTGTCCAGAGCAAAAGAGCCCTCAGATAGTCTGTCCACTGCGTTCAAATTAACTTCACCGCTTCTGCTTTATGCTGCCCAAGAGGTTACTCTTAGTGCAGCAGGAACTAACTCTATGCCTAGCTCAACGCTTAGAACTTTGATCAGAAAAATGCCATAATCTATTGCTGATCACCAGAGAAAAAAATAACTACATCACGTAACTAGCAAAGAAAGACTGCAGTGATGCATCCTGCCTTCCTGCTACGGCCAGAAACTTTTCCTACCTTTGTTGCTCATTCTGCGCCCTTTGTATTGTCACTGTTTAAGGGAAACCCTGAGCAGAGTCAAATCGAACAATTTTTCCAGGCTATTAAGAATCCCTATCAGTTCCTTCATCACCTCATCACACAACCCTTCAAACCTTTATGGCAACACCTGGAAAGTAACAGTGGCAGAGTCTTTTCTGGTGGCAGGGGTAACTTTTGCTGACATAAAGCACTCACAAAACTTCAGCCTCAGTGGAGACAGCTTAGATGAATCAGGATGATCAGAAACTGCTTAGAAATCTGC